TAGTCACTTGCCTTTTAAACATTGTTGTGTTTCCCCATCTACGACTCAGCTCTCGCCGGCCTTCTTCTGGGGAAAAAGGCACAAGCACCTCCTTAGTCAGTGTTGCCGTTGGTACTGCTGCAGCAGCAGCAGCTGCTGCTGATTCTGGTGCGAAAGTTAGTTTCAGTGCCTCTTCTGATGCTGCTGTTGCTGTTGATTTCGTGTTGCACGGATTTTCTGCTGGCGCCGATACTGACGCTGCGATGCTCCTGTCGTTCTTTCTCATACCGCTGCTACTGCTGTTCATGCTGCTGCTGCTACTGCTTGCCGTGCTGCTGCTTCCGCTGCTGCCCCGAAACCAGCCCCTTCTTCCGCCTGAGACTCCTCCCTCTCCCTGAATGCCCACCTGCTGTACATTCCCCATTTCTAACGAGCTCATCCGAAAACTCTTTTCCGTCGGTTAGTGCTGCGATGGCCTTAATCGCCTTGGGTGTTTCACCTATTCCTCACATGGACTGGCTGAAAGATTCAGCCCGAAGCTGCAGTTAAGTGTTGCTGCATTGCTGCTGCCTCTGCTACTCCAGTGGTGTCTACGATAGTTGCTGCTACTGAGGAGGTGCGGAAGCTCCGGAACATTGATATAGTTGGCACTGTGTTTGTACTGAAGTGATGTCCTGAGTACAGTGTGATCGGTTGGTGCTAATCCAACGTTGCTGGCGTTGCACCAGCTGGTGCTGCTGCTTCGGCTTCTGTGTCGTTGACTTGAAGCGCAAAGCCCGAAATGTTTGTCGTCTTCCACGCATCCATTACTATGGAAAAAATACGTGAATTTAATATAACACGCAACGGGACGCCCAAGGTCCAGGGCACGCATACAGCTGCTTTTGCGGCTCACACCAATGGGTTGCGCTGGCGTTAAGGGAAGGAAATAAAAGGTTAGCAGTCAACAGGTAAATAATTATCGGTTTGGGGCATATGTTTTTGGCGTCACGGTATAATATTTAGAATCCACACTCTTGATAAGAGCTCTGTATTCTAGGGTTCAACGTGTGAGACTACTCAGGGGCTGCAGCCCGTGTACAGCACCTGCTTTATGGGCGCAGTGCCACTGTACTAAAAAGGATCTTGACGTGTTCGTCCTAACAAATTTGAAGAGTTGCTACGTTAATCAAGGTTGTTTAAAATGTGGTGCTGAGGTCACGGTGACAGGATTTGGGGTCTCCGTTGTACAATGTGGCGTGCGTGACTTCAACTAAACACACTACAGGCTCATGACCAACGATTTTTATTGGCGCATTCACCAGTCTTCTAAACATTAGCTGAAGTACACAGCAACCATGCATTCAAGTGCGAAGCACCGTGCACGATATCTGTGAATCTTGGGCAAAGACGCCCACCCTGTGCGGTCCGAAGCCAAACGGTTATGAACAGCGCCTACGTTTGTTCCTGTTTAGCGAGGCTGTGTGTGACGTAGCACGCACACTGTCATGCAATTCCGAACTTGTACTCAGAATTATAATTATATCTAGGGCACTAGTTGGGCTGTTGGGGACTGCAGGTGGGCTAGTTCTGGCTGCTACGTAGACTCAAAGCAGAATGCCCTGACTGTGTATCCTGGCATGTTGGCATTGCTGACTGGCAAGGGGCTTGTGTCTAAAATGTGCGTTGTGTTGCACTGTTTGCATGTCTCTCTACTTACACACTCCACCTGCGATGGACACGCCGCATGCTTGTAAGTGGTGGCAAGACGTGGCATCGATGTCAAGTAAAAGTGAGCCTGAGTAGCCAGTGGTGCTGACTGGAGGTACGCTTACGTTGAGGCCGATTAGTGCTTCTGCAGTGCACTGACTCTCCCATTTTGTTCTGGCTTAGCTGAGGCACTCCGGAAACTTGGCTAATATACGTGTTCTAGTCAAGTTGTAATGACGGGGTCAGATGTTCAGGACCCAGCGAGCTTCACCTACAAGCGGGAGCACCTGAAGGTCTCTTGACAAGATGACAGCGGACCATTTCATTAGGGCACTGCATAGTAGCATGGGCAGTATTTCCCAATCACCATCATCGGCCGAATCACCTGAACATTTCACGAAGTGTCGACCGCAAATTCTCCCAGGACGGTCTGCAGCGTGCTGCAAGGTAATTGGTAGAATAGTTGACGGGCTGTGTGGTCTTTTGTGGGACTTGGAAAGGTAGGCCTCCTTTTACTTGGATTCACGCTAGAACGACCCTGATGCTCTTTGCGGGCATGCGGCATCTGCTCTGTGCAGATGGTCTTGTGCCGAAGGAATATACTACTGTAAAGCTTCCTGAATGGTTATCCGAGTTCTTTGCCAGTGTTGCATTTAGGGATATTGTTTAACCGTGCACTTCGTGCGATCTCTGCAAATTGGCGGAGTCATAGTAGTACTTCAACATTTTCTTCGTGCATGTGCCAAGCGTCACCTGATATATAGCTGCATTCTTCAGAATGTGTCATGCAATGCAAACTAGTGTACTGTGCATGTACAGCGAAGAATACACTGAATTGTCAGCTGTGAACTTATTTGTATTATGTGTAGTAAGGGCGACAAAGGTGAGAAGTTGGAAGCGCTGGAGCCCAAAGCTGTTAATGCAAACGTTAATCTGCTGCTTTACGCCTCATAGGATCATGGGCTGGCTTCCCGCCTGATAGGATCCTGGGCTGGCCAGAACCAACAAAAATTCCCACTGCATGCTTATTTGCATCGTGCAGACCGCGCAGAGTTTCGCAGTTGCACCTTTTTGACTGCACCAGTCTGGACTTTGTGAAATGCCACTTCTCTCCTTCGCGCGACTCCGCAGCACGCTTCCGCTGCTCGTTTTGGGGCTTCGCTATACCAAAGGAGAGCCCGCTACGAGTCACAGACAGGAAACCCATCAACCGGAAAACGGCTAGTTACGGGTTTGTCTGTTGACTAAACCTTGCCCATTTTTCTGCGTGTTTTCCCAGTTTGGCGGCCCCTCGCAAGTTTCAGCTATCAGTTTCACTACGACAGCTGTTCGTGGCTGACGCCATAGACTGCTTTCGAAGTACTCTTAAATGTGTCCATGCAACGAGCGTTTTTTCTCTAAGGAATCTGCTCGTTTTGAAGTCGCCCAGCAAGGAAGCCACCGACCGCTTTCCTGAGGATCCCTACTGAAGCTTATTCTTGGATGTTTGGATGAGATATGCATATTCCAGGCTGTCTTTCCCTTTGCTTCCCATTGCAGCACATGGCTGTAGTTGCTTGTGTTGGTTCAGCCTTTCCTCGTGTACTTCCCAGCAGCTGCCTTCGCTTGCTTTTTTGGCTATTCTGGCTCCTGTGTCTCTTTCTGGAAATGTACTCACTCGCGTCGCATTGATTGCCCTCGGTGCCCCAATGTGTCTGTGGTAGCTGCTGTATAGTTGAAGCTGGGAGCTATATGTAGGCTGGCACAGCCCTTTAAAACAACCGAAGCTTGCTGGGCTTCGTCGTTCAGCGCAGTGTGAGGTCAACCAATGCAGTGGGCAGCAAGAGCCTTTTACTTGCTCAGTTCGCACGAAAGGCGCATTGCTTGTATATTTGGAGCAAAGCAACAGCCGCAAAAAAATATATGCAAAACGAGGGGAAAACCAATTTCAAATGAACGACGTTTACAGGTGAACGGGTGGGATTCACAAACGCAAATAAAATGTCCTGCCGGGACTTTGCTCATAGTCACTGCGTGCAGAGCAAGCGCTGGAACGTATCAGTACTCCGCATTACGTGGCCATCAACGGATGTAGTCGCATCACAGCAATCGATTGACAGGCCGCACGCCCCTATAGTTAACTGCTATCTAGGGGTGTTCATACCGTTGTTCCCGATTTTCGGTGTAAAAAAACCTTTCCTACCTGTTGGATGTCTATTTCTCCGCATACACTTATTTGCTGCCTTCTTGACTGGGAGGCCCATGCCAGGATGCCTGCAGAGAGACAAGACAGGCACGCGACTATCGTCTGATACAACAATATTCAAATACTCACTCGGCATTTCTTCTGTTGACGTAAGGACTGACTGAATTAGATACATTTAAAAAGCTATAGCGTACTCCAGAGGCAGTCGGGCTGTCTTCTAGAACGGGGGCCACATACGTCGGGGGCCTCTGAGGCAAACATGCATTTTCAGTCTGCATGCACATGTAAGGAGTCTGCATGCAAAAGTAAGGTTCGCTAAGAACCAGAAGCAAGTACTAACAGGGAATTTCTACTCACGAAGGGGCTGCTTGGTGGTGAGTCATCAGAAGGACCACTGGAACCCTGTTTGCACATACACACAATAAGGAAGGCTTGGATTTCAGGGAATTGCAGTTGCACGCGTTGAGCGTGTCTGTCGATATTTTCAGTTGTATTCTGAAGACAGCCGCCTATCTAGTGCAGACATGAAAGTTCCAGCAGTTCCGCTGGCCTGTATATGCGTGGGCTACTGCGAAATTTCTCTCTTTATCACCCTTACCAAGAAGTAAAACGAATACAAAAGGCGTCCTACTCTATCGCAAAACCGTTGCCACGCCGATTTCTTCCCCCCCCTTTTTCGTTTTTCCTCCTGCACAATCAAAAACGTTTTGATATTACGTTCCCGCCACGGTGCCTAAATTGCAATGAAAAGCTCGTTAAGAAGCTTGCGAATGCCAGTTCGCGATGCAGTGAGCACATGAAACACGGGGAAAACACAGGATTAGGGCATGAACATCACTATTTTCTGAAATCCTGCTTGACGTAAGAACACACTTAGACTCCCTGGAAGTGCAGACAACGTGGGCATGCGAAGAAGCAACAAGAACGCATTTCAGGCAAGAAAATCGTGCGCAGACGCTGCCAGAATAAATGAGACACCAATGCACTGTGACCTGTATGGAAAGACCCTGCAAAGGCTGCATTCAGGTAAATGGCACATCTAGACTAGTTCAAGCGAGAGCCCTGCTCCTCAGGACCTCAAGTTGTGGGAATGCATGCTGGTTTTTATGATGGCTTCGACTGCAAGTCAGCCATTAACAGTTGTCTCCTAGTAACACACCGGACTTTTGGCCTTTTCATTCTTGAGAAGCGGCTGAGACTCCTTGGAGCTTGATGGCCCGTCAATTACATCGTAAAATGTCGCAGTCTGAGTGGATCAATAAGCACACGGTGGAACGCGCGGAGAGGGAAATTTCGCTGAGGGGAACGAGATGTGTAGGCGCTGTCTTGATCTTCCTCCCTGGAGCATGTGGGATAGAAAATGGCAGCTGGAAAGCTTTTTTCTGCAAAAAACTATAAACTGCAAAAGAACTATTCTCGAGAAAGCAGCGTAGACGTCGTGGAATTTCGGCCCCATTCACTGCTCACGGCGTGACCTCGGGGCCTTACTCTTCCTGATTTCCAGGTTATGTCTTCGTCCTCCTCGTCGCTGCTGTCTTCATCTACGGTGTCCGGTTCATGCTGCGCGCCACCAAGTGATGCACAAGAAGATTCCTTCCACAGACGTGTCGAGTAAAGACTACAGTGTTTGCGAGGACATGTAGATCTTGCTCACCGCAGTGTTGAGAGCGGTCGCGGAGTATCCCAGGGCCAGGGCGAGTCCCAGAACAGCAAACAATACAGCCCACGTCTTAGGCCTCTTCAAGAGAGGGCGCGCAGGCAGCCTCTGTTCTCGTATTCCCTCGCTAGCCTTCACTTGAGGGATTGGCCTATCGGCTGCTTCTGCAGACGGCGGCCTTTTCACGGGCTCGGAAACTTTGTCTTTAACGGCCTGTGTCAAAGCAGGCGATGCCGAACGGTCCAAGGCCGAGCAGAGGCAACTTCCCCACAGCAGTGAAACCAAAAGAAAGGCAATCACGGGATAGCGACCGACCATCGTTTCTTAAATTTTCACAGGGGTAAAAGCAAAAGGTACAGGAGCTAGTAGGCGAGGACACCTCCCTGAGCAGTTGCTGCAAGAACGAGGCTGCTCCGTGAGACGCAAAAACTCCGCTAGCCACTTAGTTCACTAATGTTTCACCTTTAAGGATTCCTTTATGCTAAACCACAGCAACAAACCCCAAACCTGCTATTTGTTTGCTGGCGAAGTCTTACAAATCAGACGCATGCCTCTGAACGAACTGCAACTGGTCAACAAGGATGGAAGAGCCGCTGGCTCTGTTGGCAAAGATAGTATCTGCCTTTAGTGTGCTTTGGCGCCGCATTGCCTCTGGTATCAGAAAGGTCTCATTTTATTGAATTTTCCTTAAAAATAGTGAAAAATTAGTGGAAGGCAGCAAAGTAGTTTGGTAGGAGGCGACTTTCACCTCTGCTGTCCGCAGTTAACAGCAGCGTAACGCTTTTCCTTTTTTCGCCCATAGATCCTTCCGCAACTATTGTTCGAAAGAATATTTAATAGCTTCCAGTAACGGGCCACTTGTTGCAGACTGGGCCTTTTGCCTCTATAATCTGCGTTAGGCACGCAAATCACGCCCGGTGGGAAGACTGTAGATGTGCACCGCAAGGGACATGGGTGACTGAGCCAAAAAGCTCTGATCTAACGGTCAACCTGCCCGTTGAATATACTTGTGGCGTTAAAAACTTTACGTTTCACTTCTGTGCCGTTATCTCGAGGCATGATCAGGGGGTACTGCGGTAGATAACTCCGTTTCAACTGCCAGAGAGACACTGAAGATCATAGGAAGCTGGTGTGGGGCTGAAGGCACTTGAAGTGACGCCTGCATTGGCTCAAAAAGCACGCTCAAATGATACACGCACAATGGAACTGCTTTTAAAGGAGGCAGTGAATCTCTCTGGTGAGTCAACATTGGCATATCAATATTTACCTCACCACCCGGCAGCGTAACTGCCACACACTGATGAGATGAACGCAGATCTCAAGAGCAGGAGCAATATTCCTGCGGGGCAAAATTGAATTTCACGTTGATACAGTATTTCTTAATATTCTTTGGCTGTGGGCCAGCCAGCATAGTCAAAGGAGCGGAAGATAAGCAGTTGCCTCCCTTAAGTGTGAAAGAAAAACTGTTGCGGCTCTCATTTTGCTTGCTGTTCACAAGCCAGTGTAACAAAAAAACGTGGACAAAGAGCAATTTCATCCTGCCGGTAAAAGAGAAAGCGTAGTTGCTGGGCATTCTGTTGGCTACTGCAAGCTCACACCAGAATGATACGACAAACAAACAAAACATCAAATTGCATTGGGCCACTTAGTTATTTTCACTTGCAGTTGAAATGAGTGGGAGACTTAATGGATACATTTAGATGCAAATGTAATTGTAGTCGTCTTCAATTGAGAGATAGCATGTAAGCAGAAAACTTCGCAAGCCAGTACCGACACGGATTTTGGCTCTCTAAAGAAATTCTTTTTCAGGTCTGTTTAGGGGAGATCAGGAACATTAAGCGAACTCATGCGACTGCGTCTGAAGCGCGAATACGAAATTCGACTCTCCTTTCGTAGTTACTCAAGGCACCCTCATGCACCGAGATCAAGTTTCCCACTGCGCATTCCTACCACACACTTTACTGCCTCTCTGTAGAATTGGTGAGGCGTCTGCTAGAAAATGCAGTGTTTATGATTCTGCAAGCAGTGGCAGAGGCATGCCGATGCGCGTATATCTTTATGTATCGATTGCTCCTTTTTTTTCCATGGCCACAGGTGTTGTTGCACTGCTGCACATACCGCTCAACGGTGCTGCCTTTTGCTCAAGTAGCGGCCAAAGATATCGAAGCCGAACAACAAATGTGCGGGGAAACACCGAGACAACCATCTGTTGCTGTCTCTTCACTGCGAAGCAGTGCGTGATCCAGCGAGAGACTACAGAGGTAAGATATATCACTTATAGTTAAACAGGCAGAGTCGTCCTAGCGGGCAGACGACCTGTAACTTCTACAGGTTCCATCAGTCCACCTAAGCCATATGAGCTTCGACGTGGGTGGGATGGCCACTTTTACTGGCGGGCCGAAGAATCTGGCGTGTTTTCCTGACAAAATTGAGAAAATAAATCATTAATTTTGAAATATGCAAAAAGTATTCAAAAAACTGGTACTTTGAGGTTGAGCTTCCTGCGCAGGCGCTGTGCCTTTAGCAGGGTCATCTGGTAGCAGTCTAATAACTGTCTGCTCCAGCCTTTGAAGCGGCCCCCCATTCTTGCAGATAAGCCTCTCGCTGACGTTATTTCAAAGAAGAAATCGAAAAATCATATAAACAAAGAGTACACAGTCTCGATTTTCTTGTGTATCTCCCGCCGCGTCGCCTCATGTTGCATTTAGGTTCTTGATCTCGTCTCCTGAGTTCATTGCCGTGGTCCTCCTTCCGCGCCTAATTCCGCAAAGGCTAGTGACTGCAGGGAGTTCGTATACTTTTGAATCCACTGTAACATCCAGCAAAGAGGCACAAAGCTCAGTTTCTCCTGCCCTTTCGAGCGTTGTGCAGACACACGATATTTGGACGCAGCGCTCAACAACATCAACACCTCTTTCTCTGCAGGGAGTTCATCTTTCGAAGCGCAGCACCAACAAAAGCCTAAATATGAGTTTCTCTGCGGCGCTACTGTAGAGCAGGAGACCGAAGTCCAGCTGCTAGACTCATGAGCATGGCCGCAGCAAGTGTCTGTGGACACGTAATAGGTATGTCTCTGCGAAGGCGAAACCATTCGGGTGTGCAGCTTCAATGAGCAAAGAAGGGGCTGCGGGAAGGGCTGATGATGCTAGTTAGAAAACGCCGAGGGCTGAAAGTTGCCCAGTTCTGTACGGTGGTTCGCTCCAGTCGTTCAAGTCTAGGATGAAGCTAACAAACAAAGATGAAATGCAGGCTTGCCGTCTTTCTCCTTGGCTTTCTCCTCTGTCTTGTGCACAATTCGGAGGCCGCCAGTCTAGCGGTTTGGACCAAAGGCAACAGCGGGCGGGGCTTACCTGGGCTGCTCCTGGGGCAGCACTTGGTTGTGGCTGCTGGAAAAGAAGCACAAAGAAAGACCTGCTTTTGCTTCACATCTGCAGCCCCCCGATCTCTTGTGTTTTCTTACAGCCTAAATGCAACAACAAGTCGGACAAAGACAGCCTCAACAGCAAAAAGACCAGCAGTTGAAGCAGCAGCGTTACCTGCGGATGGAAACAGAGCTGCGGCGTCAAAGCCAAAAAGAAAACGTGGCCAGGTGCAAAGAGAAGCAGAAATTTCAGCACCCTCTGCAATAAAAAGTGAGAGTAACCGCGTCTCGGGTCAAAAAGGCAGCCAAGCAACAGCCCGTGTAGCTTCAGACACACCCGTTTTGCTGGAAGATGCTGGTGCTGCTGAGTCAACTTCTTTGCCGGATTTATCTAATAAAGATGGATTTTGTGGCGTTCCAATCACTGGCCTCCGCACGGCCTGTAGGAAAATGCAGCTGCCCAGCAAAGGCACTAGAAGTGAATTGATAGAGAGGCTGTTGGCGGTGGCCCCAACTCAGAAGATTCTGGCTTATGCGGCGGAACAGAATGGCTTTATGCAGCAGCAGCAGCAGCAGGCTCAGGATGAGGCAGAGGGAACAGCTGAGCTGCCGGTAGGAGCTTCCTCCGAAAAACCAACCCCCAGCCGATGCCACAGATGTAACCACCGACTGTCTAGCAGTGAGCACATGAATAAGTGGCCATGCATGCACAAAAACAAGTTAAATTCGCACATTTCCCTGGCCATGTATGCACAAGCACAAGTTAAATTTGCACATTTCTGCTAGTTTGCGCCGCTTCAATCCCCGGTAGATATAGTGAAGTACGATTGTGGTCAACAGTCTGCATGTGCTTGCTGCTATGGGTGGAAACATCCGGTTTGCAAAAGTTAATTGTTGCATAATCAATCATTCTCGTCCCTAGAAGAGAGCTGCAAGTACTTAGTTGGCTCATTTCACAAAGCCAGCAACAGATAATGTGTAGGACTTCAGTTCACCAAGTGACGCACGAATTCCTCTCCCAATCATTTACAGTACAGAAGATTTTTCGCGTAGCCAAATGCGATAACTGACATTCCAGGGCCATACTTTTGGCTGTTTCTTTGTACTGAAACTTTTGAGCTGCGTGGTGTGCCGCTGATAGTGCCTTTTGTTTGAGAACTTGTGCTGCTGCTGTGGCTGCGAGCGGGCTGAGGCTGAGGCTGCATTTGGTGTCCGTTGTTTTCTTTGCCGTTGGACTCAGAGGCGCGTTTTTGCTCCAAGTGCGGCGCTACAATCAACGTTCTAGGCCAAGAGACATTGAGGGAGTTCGTTGAAAAAGCATTTTGGCCCGTCAGGTGAGAAAAGGAAAATGAAAGCTGTTTGAATGTAAAGCAGTTCACGATGGGATGTAGCTGCGTCAAGCTGACCTGTTTAGAAGGGAAAAGTTTCTTCAGGAGCATTTGTGGGCAGTCATAGTTGGAGAGCTCAAAGGGACTAAAACACATGAGCTAGCCTTATCCTCCTTGCTCTTTGTCCATTTATCCTGGGAGTGTCTGGAACTCTACTCACAACTGAATATTAGACGCCCATGTCCGCTGCGACTCTGTTTGCTGCGCATTTCAGAGAACAGGAAGTAGGGAGCAACACAATGCGAGTTGAGCGAGGCTTCTGGCAGTCCATTTTGCAGGTTCGCTGCTGCTAGTTTCATTGTTGATTTTGCTCTCTGTTGCTCGTCTGTGCTGGTGGAGTTGTTTCAACTCTTGGGGACGAGCTTGTCTATGAAGCTGAGGACCCTGTTTGTACAGCTGCGAGTTCTCTTCTTGCTTTTGTTGAGAGCGTTGCTCTTTAAGTGCTCCCCATCGCTGCTTTCGTTTTCGATGTTTTTGATTTTGGCGCTAAGGCCGAAATATTATGACTGGTGTAGAACTGTGCTGCTCAAAGCGTTGCTAGGAATCCTTGCTCTATGCGCAGGTGATTGGGGACGTTCCTGTTGCGAATCTTTCATCGGCAGTTTGGGAGAAGTATTTAGGGTAAAGCTTTTCGGCTTTTACTTTATTAAAAATTAGAGCATTATCCTTTGATGCCTTATAGAATTTGCTCTGCTATAGCACACCTGCATGGAAGCGCGCCACGGCTTGCGAACGTATGATGTATTTCCGATGTACACCGCACGTCCGAGCTTGCCACTGCAGTTTAGTTCGCTTCTTAGCACGCTAAAGCTATTTTTCCGAAGCATCCAGCCCCACTTGCGTTTGCTATGCCTTGCATGTACACACGGACTTGCTCTTCTGCGTGTATCCGCTCGATTTCATGTACCTCGTCCTGCTGCCGCATGCACTTTCGCTTTTTTTTTTCCGGTCTTGTTTTGTTTGCTTTAGGGTACTAAAGAAGCGCAGCTGCTCTCCGCGCACCCAGGTGCTGCATCAGGTTGCGTATTTAGCTGCGCTGAAATATGCAGTGCACACCCGCCGTCTTGAGAGCATTCACCCCTTTCGCAAAATAAGAGGCTGTACGAAACGAACCCTCGTTTCTGTGCCTTTAACAGCTGAAGAGGTGCGCTAAATTATCACGCTCCCTGCGCCTGTCAATCTAGGTTTGATGGGGAGCGGGTGTCAAATGAACTCATCAAGATCTATTTAGTCCATGTTATCTTTTTGGGATTGCATAGCTGCGTTCGGCTATCAGTTTTTAGATTTTGTCTCACATTAGTCCTATATTATTCGTTTGAAAATTTGTAGCTGTATTTGGTTATGCGTTTGCTTCTGCCCTCGACCCTTCAGGTTTATCTGCTGCTGGCTGCTACGCCGAACACCATGCACTGTGCCTTATTCGCTGTTGGAATTGGCGCGGGTCTCCGGCCTTCGGAGATTTTGTCTATGCGATGGGAAGACGTGAACATGAATGAAATGACGGCGACGATCCGTGGCTCAAAGACAGCCGCATCAGCAGCCGCCATTCCCCTCACTAATCTTGCAGGGAGAGAGTTGATGCGGTGGTACGTTTCTCTAGACAGAGGACTTTACCCCTTCTTGCTATAGATTTATCCGTTTCTTGCATGCAGTGCACAACTTGCATATGCAGCGAGCAGGATGTACTTGGCTGCCAGACTACAGCCTAAAATGTACGCAATGTGCTTGCCTGTACAATGTATTCATGCACAGTGAGTGTCAAACAATGCTTGCATGCTTTTAAGCGCAGGTGAAGTAAAAGCCTTTGCAGCTCCAACTATATTGTGTGGCCATTTTTTAACATGTGCAACTATTCGTCAGTTTGTCCTGTGCATAACTTGGATTTTAGGTGGGAGGAAGAAGGAAAACCTACAAGCGGGCTATGCTTTTACGCGGAGGGAATACGAACGGCGGAGAGCCGGGCGAAGTTAGAGAAGAAGACGCCGATTCGTAAGGACAGATTTTAATTGCTTCAGAGTGCTTGTCTGCAACAATCCATAGAGCTGCGCTGGTAAAGGAACTTGGCAGCTATTCTGCTCCTGCCGCTTTGCACAGGATCCTTCAAGAAGGCTTTACAGGCAGCGGCGCAGCGGTAAGGAAGAGGCCGCGAGTGTTTACACCCAGTTGTGGAAAGAAGTGACAATTTTGAAATAGCCGGGCTTTTCATGTTCACCCATCGTGCTGCGGTGGGTTTGTGCGTTTATAGAGCAGGCATTGACGAAACAAAGTGTGGAGAGCCCCGTCGGATATTTCCATACATACTGAGGTAACGAGGAATGGAAACTGGAACATCACAAATTTAGATGCTTAATTAGGCGTGCGAATCAATAAGTCAATTAAATATGAGTATAATGTAGTCTCTTTGCCCGGAATTATTAGAAGCGGTACCAGGCGTCTTCTTGCTTCGCTGCTGAGCGCTGCAGATGTAAAATGGTTGTGCAGTAGCAGTAGCCTCATGGCTTTTTATCACCTGCTGTTGACTGGCCATTTGCAGTTCACCACATTATGCGAGCAAATGATATTCTCCACCTTGTGTTGCTGCCCCATAGGCACTCATTTGCAACGATTGCAGCTACTTCGAACCCGCCAGTTCCACTGCCAGTTGCGCAGGTGAGTATTGACTTCCATGCGCAGTGGATATGTTGCTTCCATAAGCTTGTCATCTTTACCTTTTTTTAGATAAAATTGCCAAACAAACTTAAAAGCATGGCTGCATTCCCGTCCTTCTCCCGCACCGTGGCTGTTTAGCTGTGCACTTAAAATCTTGTGTTGCTATTTCAATTTACTTCGGACGAGCATGTGGTGCAATAGGCTTTGGTTGGCACCGTCATAGACAGTATACCCCCTAGGGCTCTTTCTTTGCGTTCAGGCGGTCATGAGACACACGTCCTCCAAAATGCTGCTGGAGACCTATGCAAAGGCTGGAGCTCTGGTCATCAAAGAAGGCCTTCGCAATTTTAAAATATGAATCCTCCTATCAAACCGGTGCACTCCAAGCTGCCAGTCTGATTAAATATGTGTTTGCCATTGCGCAGGCGGCGCATACATTTCGAAGCAGGCAGGCATTATTTGGTAGAGGTGAACTCTCGTGTAGCGTGAAAGGCTCTATCCATGTAGCTAGTTGCATTCCGACAGGGACAACAGCGGTGTACAACAGCGGTGTACAGTTTGCGCCACCAATCGCACAAGTATATTTACCTGGCTGAATATCAATATAGGCAAACGCTTGACTGCTGCCTGGCTACAGAGGACACATTCTTCCCCTCTACATATATGCTAGGAGCTCATGCGAGACAAAACACATTGAAATAGTTTTTTGTTGATCCTTCTGCCAAGGAATGGACACATGGCAATTCGACTCGCAGTTTTCGCAAGCTACGCCTTAGAACGCTCGTCAGCAGCTCAGCAGAAACTTGCGTGACTAAGACTTGAAGCGAAAACCTAGAAAACCAGAGTCGAGCTACGGCCATGCTGGTCACTTCTTGCGGAGACCTTTGACGCTTCGCTTCCTGAGGAAGTTGCCCTTGGGTCCCTTCACAGCCACTCGCTTGTTGTGCCTGAGCTTCCATATCTTTCTCCCAGAAGTTGCAGGCAGGGCTTCTGGGGCCACTTCATCTGGATGCTTCGGCATTCTAGCGAGCTGCGTCTGCCGATTTATCTTCGGCCTCAGTGGCCTGCGCTTCCCTGTGGCAGCGCCACGGGACCTGCAGCAGACAACTCAGAAACTGATCCACGCAGTTGGGCAAAGCTGCTGGTTAAAATTGAATCACTTATGCATCCATGCAGTGCTTCAGTGTGCAAAGAAGCAACATGGGCTCCAGATGAATGCCTACACTGCTGCTCTGAAAGTCTTCAGTGGATCAGTAACAGGGTGGCGATGTGAACTCCTGTATGGCCCCTTCTTGTCTGCTGTTTCGGCTGCCTGCTGCTGGATTGCCAGTTGTACAGCAGTCATCTGCAAAAAGAAAAACAAAACGGCCACTTGTTGATGTCTTCCTTGCATGGGATTTGTACACTTAATTTCGTTTATTGGCAAAGGCAGCGAGAAAGTATTTCACATGAGCACGTCAAAAGCTCGAGTGCGAAAATGAAATCTCAGCTGCAATTTTTCCACACAGACACACAATTACAGGAAGTCTCTCATTCGTTTCTTGGCAGTTCCTTCATTATCACTCACTTGTGTTGGCTGCGTCTGAGACAAAAGGTAATCTGGCAGATGTCCTAAAGGACCCTTTGAGACATTAATTTCCTGCAGAAAAAAAGCAGGCTTCCACTGCTGCCTCTCACTTCTCTGTAAAGCTGCGGCCACCTTTTGCCGCAAATCTTGGCTATTAAATCGGATTGAAGAGAGTGGACTTCGTGGAAGGTGGCCCATATGTGGATTACTGTGAACACCAGCCTGCCGTACCTTAAGCTGCTTGCATGCCCGCTTCAGCACGTCTCTGTCTCTCGGGTTTCTCTCGAAGAACTCCTTCAGCTTTCCAGAATTCAGCAGCTGCTGCTGCAAATCGCGCGCAACGGCAGCGGCAATGACGCGTTTTGTGATGCCCCGCCTCACGTCCTCAACTCTGTAGCGGAAGCACTCAACATCTTGCAGCTGCAGCGACAACGGCGTAAGCGCTGAGAACACAGACACAGCACCGCACCAACAAAAAATGTCTAGTTGTTTAATTATTTAAACTGCCGAAGCTGGCAAACAGGTCACTCTCACGCATCTCTTATGCGGAGCTATGCTGATCCATGCACGCCCTGTGCAGCAACAGCTGTGCAAAAGTGCGCAGCATTTGAAAATCAGCTGCCTGCGGTATACAGAAGACCCACTGCTGCAATTCGATCCGGGAGCCCTCCGAACTGTGAGCAGCTGCTGCAGAAGCAGCTGCTGCTGCTCCTGGGATGCGTCTATGAGAGTAACTGCAACTCCCATAGAGCCCCCACGCCCAGTCCGGCCAATTCTGGGTTTCACCGCAGCAAGAGAAAGCACAAATTATTTTTCTATTTATATGCCTGTCTACGTATTCAAGTGCGCAGTTCTCGCTAGCACTGGTTTCAGAAAGAGTGGTGAGGAGAATGAAAGGCGCAATCCCAACCACTCCAAAAGCTGAAAGCTTTTCTAATGATCACAGGCACTCCGATTGGGCATTGTTGCTCTTAAGAACGTTAATAAACGAAACCAAGACCTGAAAAGGGTTGCTCACCTGTGAATATAAGACTTCAGACTGCTGGGTGCGTCGAAGTTAAACACACATGCAACGCCCTGCATGTCCAGTCCTCTATGTCCGGCGAACTCTGAGTCCTTCGCCTGTAGAAAAAACAAATAGTTATCTCGTTTTCCAGAAAATGGAATCTCAGGGGGCCTCGTTGGCGCATGCCCAGCCGGAGTACCGTCAGTTATGTCCGCTCATTTCGAACCAATGAAAGTTTCATTGTGAACCCTCATATCAAATGAAGTTGCGCTTCATTTAAATTCAGGAAAAAGGAGACAACTAATAATCCAAACGCGGTTTTCACAGGCAAAAATGCTTATTTCTTGACGGTTTCAGATTATTTTGCCGTTTTCATTGTCTTCTTACCTTAGTTTGGTCCTCTCGTCGCCGTTTCCCCGTAGACGGAGTGGGCGCCGAAGCCTCAGCAGATCCAGAGCTCTCTCCGTCTGCTGGCGGATTCTTTCCCTCCATGAACTGTCCGTCATTCGTGATGAGAATATCTATGAGTCCCTGATTGAATGCCTGCAGCAAGACCAGACGCAGCAACGACACTCCGCAATGCCAGCAACAAAGCGTAAATTACACGTATTGACTCAAAGAAGAGCCGTCATATCGGCTAATCCATGCATTCTTTGCAAACATCCGAATGCTTCTACATCTGTGAGATAGCAGCAGCAGCAGCTACCACGGTGCACGCCACATTCGCAAGCTGACCTGAATTTGCTGTTCGCGTGCTGCTACCGGGAGTGTCGGACTCAAAACGCCGCTGGCTATTCCAAATCTGTCAAGGAATAGTCGTAGTGCGTAGACACTGCATCAAATGTTCGCAAGAAAACACGAAACCGCCGTCAGGCTGCGCCGAGGGATCAGAAATCCAAGCCAATCCATGAATATATTCTTGAATATTCAAATATTCAGCGCTCCCGAGTGGCAAAATGTCTCCAAATCCAAAAGCTCACCTCGAAACATCTTTGCAAAACACCAGGCACTTGAGGGGCACAAGGCCGAGCCGAAGAAACGCGTACGCCACCAGCCATTTCTCCGCCTCCGTTGGGACTTGGAAATAGAACTCGCTAATGCAGCTGGCGGCGCTGCCGTCTGCATGACTTCCTTCTTCTTCCACAATTTTGATAATGAGGGGTTTGTGCAGCATCAAATGCTGCAGCTGGGAAAGCTGCAAATGCATACAAAAGGAGTTCAGCGGCAAGCACTTGCTAGATCTCCAGAAGCGGGGAAAATGCCTCCAAAACTGATCTTTCTAATCATAACAACTGATATTTTTGACAATCAGAACTGCTTTTTATAAAAAAAAGAGTCACCTCGTGGTTCTGAGTGGCGGAAACGAGAATAGTTTGGTAGTGCCGCGCTGCTGTAGACGGCAAGAGCTGAAGAAGTCTTTTCGTGTCGTTTTCAAAACCGAAAGCGAACAGCAAGTCCGCCTCGTCAACAACCAAAACTTCCAGACCCAACTGCAACTCAAACTGCTGCTGCTGCCGCCGAATATTATTCAGAAAATGCAAAATGCCGGTGGGGGTTCCGACCATTATGGTGGGAAGCTCCAGCAGCTTTCCAGGGTTTCCAGGGAGGCTGGCGGTGTGCGAAACAGACAAAATGTCGCTTGTGTACTTCAACATACTCTTTATAACGTCATGTACCTGCACATATAATTCATTAATAAGAAAATTCCAACTCTTTTTCGCCAAAATTCCAACTTTTTTTTCCCAAAAATCCCAACTCCTTTTCTCCCCTTCTGCCCCAATTTTCTCCAGAGCGCCAAAGCAGAAAACTCGCAATATTTGCAAAAAAAAATGCAGAAAACTATTCTGCAAAGTGTGGGGATTTTCAGTTCAAGTTTCACCCATTCATTTGAACAAGTGGCCATTCGCTGCACCTTAAACCTGCAGCTCATTGCATGCAGTTGTCTATATATATGAATATATTTGTAATATATATTATGTTTTTTTCATTCTTTATCTTTTATTCCGCGAAGGTCTCATTCAATTTTGTGGTTTTGTTTGCCTCGAGGAAAGCTGCGACGTTTTTCCTTACTTGAATGCACAGTTCTTTTGTTGGGACCAGAACCATTCCTGAAAGATCAGGGAGCGCCGCCGTTTCTGAAGCTTGCTGGTGCTGCTGCTGCTGCTGCTGCAGCTGCAGCAGCCGCTGCAGCAAGGGCAGCACGTACGCCAGCGTCTTCCCGCTGCCTGTCTTCCCCTCGATCAGCAAATCTTTGCCATTCAAAGCGACAGGAACAACCTGAAAAAGAGTCAAAACACAATTTAAAAAATAAAAAGATCGTTTTAAGAGGTAAAAATATCATTTTAATAAACAAAAATATCATTAACGAAAGCTTTCACGAGAAAACTCACTTATCTAGACCCCCAGCAGCAAACGCAAAGAAGCAAATGATGTGATAGCAACTCACTACTTTAACCGACACACAAGAACGGCTGCTGCTGCTGCTGCTGAGTGACCGTAGTAACCGTGCGTGAGTCGCAGCAGCAGCAGCAGCAGCAGTAGCAGCACCAGCAGCAGGAGCAGCAGCATGAGCAGCAGCATGAGCAGCAGCATGAGCAGCAGCATGAGCAGCAGCAGGAGCAGCAGCAGGAACAGCAGCAGGAATAGCAGCAGGAATAGCAGCAGCAGCAGCAGCAGTACCTGGGCCTGCACGTGAGTTGGATGCTGGAGTTTGAGTTCATCGATGAGGGCCTTGGTAAGCCTCCTGTCCAAATGAACTGCTCCGAACTCTTTAAAAGTCTGCGACGTGTCTATAACTCCGCTTTTTTTGTGGACGAGAACTTCAGCTTCTGCTGCTGCTGCTGCTGCTGAAGGTGAATCGGCTTCCGCGTGTGCTGCTGCTTCTTCTGTTGCTGCAGCTGAAGATGAGCTCTTTGCGGAAGCTTCGCCGCCTCCACCCTCCTTTTTCTCCCCAAAAGAAGAATTGTTTTTAATTCTTTTTCTTTTTTTCGATGGAGATTGGGATTTAGCATCAAAAGTTCCGTTTTCTTTCCCCGGAAGCTGCGAAACTGCTTCAGGGTCACCACTGGAATCCTCCGGGGAAATGCGGGGATTTTCTCCTTCGACTGCAGCAGAAGACAGGTTTTTCCTTTTGTTTTTCTTTTTTCGAGAGGAATCTTCTGCTTCTGTTGGTTTGCTGCCGGAAAGTTTGCAGCTTTCCGAATCTTGAGAGCCCTTCATGATGCCTCCAGGCAGTTTCGAAGATCCCAGGCCTGCCGGGCCGCTCCACGTGGCCTCTGCAAGAAGAATTAATTGAATTAAATACTTTTTCGAAATACTTTTCGCAACAGACAAGTTCCTTCTAGCGAATTAACACTTTGAAGGGAAATGAAGCTCCTTGGAGTTCAATCGAGTTCAAGTCGGGGCAGAAACCTGCAAAAAACCCTGCAGTTCCGCCCCAGATAAAAATACTGAAAAATTCCCCAAATAATCTTTTATATAAGTTTAAATAAGGGGTTTAAGAAGTGGGAAGAACAGCAAGAATGCTGCAGCCACACTCAGTGGCTGGCCTATGGGGCCAGGGCCCCACATGCAGCGCCTCACTCTGCGCAACAAAATAAAAGAATAAGAAGTAAAAACAAATTTAAAATGTAACTTAAATTGAAATGAAAAAGAAAAACAAAAAGTCCCAGCAGGATCACAAATTGTGAAGGTCTGATTCCCCACAACGCTCATCTTCTATGTTTCAGGACTCTCCTGCACTCAACAAAGAGTAAAAAGTGTCCCAAATTCACAAAACAAAATTTCAATTAAACTCTAATTAAATTAACAACTACCCCACAAGATTCTCCCACCCCTAAATAACTCCCTAGCTTTCCCTCCCACGCCACACCAAGCCCAACACCCCTCTACAGGTCTACATGGCCCCACATTGAACTTCGTAACACTCCAAAAAAAAAGGAAATTAAAAAAAGTTTGTTCAAAATTGTTCGTAGAAGTTTGCAAAAATAGTGCAGAAAGTTTCATAAGCTTCACCGGTGAGTACCCAATACCCGGGAGAACGCGAATTCTTGCCTTTTCCGTTTCACTTTTTTCCATTCTGCATTTGGATTGAGCCACCTTTTGCAGAAAATTGTTCCTGATGTTCATTATAAATGCTAGAACTGTAGAAAATAACTAAAATTGCGAAAGTTTGAAACAATTCCCCCTAAATTTGACTACTGTTGTCTTCTTTTTGGAATCAGACAAATGCCTCAAGCAAATCAACGGGACTTCCCAAGGCAAAAACTGCCTGGCCGTCGCTCATGCTCGTCATCGTGTCATCAGTTCATTCTTTCTCATTCTTCGACCCCCAGGACTCAAAAGCAAATAAACAAGTAAAACAACAACAAATTAAAATACATATTTTAATCATAAATACACTTTTAAATGCATGCAGCAACCGCAGCATCAGTGTAACTATGACAGATGCCCTCAGCCGATGTGGAAACTTCCGCGCAGCGCCAGAACGGCGCAGCGCAAAAACCTCCTCAGGAAGCAAAGTTGTGCATCATTTCGCTGCGGGTTTGAATTAAAAGACAAATAAAACAAAAAGAACTATTAAACAAAATAATTTGCGCAAAATCGCCGGAAAAAACCGAGAAAAGCAGTCAGACAAATGCCTTCCGTAATCAGCTGCAAAGCATGCAACAAAAACTGCCGCCGCGATGCTCATACTCGTCATCTTCTCATCATTTTGCAAAAAGTTCCACCCAAAACTTTCATCATTTTGCAAAAACTTTCACCATTTTGCAGAAAATTCCATCAAAAGTTTCACTATTTTGCAAAAACTTTCATCATCTCGCAAAGCCCTCACCATTTTGCAAGAAATTCACCATTTTGCAACAAGTTTCACCGAAAACTTCCACCATTTTGCAAAAGCTTCCAGCATTTTGCAAAACATTTCATCATTTTGAAAAACGAAACAAAGAAATCAAAAATTCAATTTTCTCCGAATCAGAAATTTATCGGCTACAGTTGTCATCAAGATCTTCTTGAAAGACTCAGGCCTATCATTGAAATCATCATGGAGATAAAACATGCACGCATGCAATCTGCATGCATGCAAACTGCATGCATGCATGGAAAGATGAAACATCCGACATGCATGCAGAGATGAAGCATTCTGCATGCATGCATGCAGCGATGCAACACGAGGCCTAAGTTCAGAAAACCTGTAAAGTAACAACTAAAATATACCTATTTAAACACAATGCAGCACCACTGCATGCAAAAAAGCGAAAGAGGCGCAAGCTCCGCAGACACCTGAAATCTGCCACATACCTGGTGTACGTACAGCGCAGCAGCGCGCGGAACTGCAGCAGCAGCAGCAAAACCGCAAATATGAAAAACTTTTAAAAATCCAAACACCAAAGTTTTTCGGGTTTTGTTTTCCCCCTCTACAGTTCTCGCTCTGCAGCCGCAGCTGCTGCCCCCCTAACCTTTACAGACACGAACGCATGCGCAGCAGCAGCAGCAGCTAGCAGCAGCTGCAGCTAGCAGCAGCAGCTAGCCTCAACTCCGCGCCGCCGCCTGCAGCAGTTTCCCGCAGCCGCCGGAAGCCCCCCACTTCCCCAAAAACCGTCACCACCACCCGCCGCTGCAGCGCAGCACCTGCTGCTGCCGTTGCTGCTGCTGTTGCTGCTGCAGCAGCAGCTGGTGCTGCAGCATGCCGCGTGAAGACCCAGCGAGAGTGGCGGTGATGGCCGAGAGGCCGAATCTGCTGCTGCCAGCTGCCCTCGCAAAAGCCGCGTCGCGCCACCCTGCTGCTTCCTCCCCAGCAGCAGCAGCAGCAGCAGCTGCAGCAGCAGCTCACGCTGCAGCAGTTCGTGAGAAGACACACCGCGCGCGCTGCAGATCCCTGCGCGGGCGAATCTGCTGCAGCCAGCTGCGCCCTCCCCCGCCCTTCGCTGCACCCCGCCGCCGCTGCTGCCGCCGCCCACGCTGCAGCAGCAGCAGCAGCTGCTGCTGCTGCTGCTGCTCATGCTGCAGCAGGCCGCGTGAAGATGTAGTGGGAGTGGTGCTGGTCGCCGAGGGGCCGCAGCTGCTGCTGTCTGTACAGCTCGCGAATGCCGCGGCGCGCCAGCGAGGCGTTTATGCGGAAACGTTCACAAATGGAAAAAGGAGTCACAAGTTTCATTTTGGGAACTTCGGAGAGAAACTTTTCCAAAGTTCCCGCGTCAAACATCACCGCGTAGTTCAGCTTGTCCTTGCTCTTCCCCTTGGACCACTTCTGCAGCAGCAGCAGCAGCAGCAGCAGCAAAAACGGCGCTCGCAGCAGCTTTCTATGACCTGCTGCAGCAAATGCAGCAGCTGCTGCTGCGGCGCCAGCAGCGCTGCAGCGGCTGCTGCCGCCCTGCCGATGGCGGCCGCGGGCGGGCTAGGGGTTTTTGCTGCTGCTGCTGCTGCTGCTGTTGCAGCTAGTTCCATTGGCAGCAGCAGGTGTGGTGATGTTGGTGAAATATAAACTCAAGGAATTAATTAGAAGGAAATAAATAAATAAATTAAAAGAAAGGAAAAGCAATACAGGCAGCTGCAGCAAAACGAACCTTCTTGCTCTTCTTGCTGCCTGCGGCAGCAGCCGCGGCGATCTGCTCCTTGGTCTTCTTCTCCTTCGGGGCCATTCTGCTGCAGTCAAAGCACTCCACAAGAAATAAATAAAAAAGAATTGAAAGAAACAAATACAACTGAGAAAAGCGGAAATAAAATGCCTTCCTCCAGGTGTACGTACACCCGGTTTCGCAGCGGCACCACTCCCTCTATCCACGACGAGCAGGAGCACGCAGGGCCATATTGGGATCAACACTTTGCGAATTTTGAAATACAAGTATTTAAATTAAAAAGAAAAGAAAAGAAATGCATTTCAAGGGGTTTTTTCCGCGAACTTCGCCGGACTTGGAGCCCCACCGCAGCCGAGACGGCGCGAGGGGTGCCCCCCGGCTGCTGCAGAGCCCCCGGAGCTTCTGAAGACTCACTCGCAATTTTTGAAGACCGAATTGAACAGAAAAGAATAAAAAAGAATAAAAGAAAAGCTCTCGAGAAGAAATGCTGCAGCGCTGCTGCTGCGGGAGAAGCGCAGCCCTCGCCCCGCAGCGATGCGGGGCCTCCGCCCCAGCCCGTGCATGCAGCAAGCCCCGCTCGCCGCCCGAAAATGTATTCAAATGTATCTTTTTCTTCAATTTATTTATTCTAAAATGAATTTAATTCTTTTGGGGTTTAAATACGTTGATAGCTCCGCGGGGAAGTTTGCGTGGGGGTGCCTGAGGTGTATGTACAGGTACAGCTGCACACTAGTTGAATTCGATCGCGCACAAAAGCCGCAACTTAGTGTATTTTATTTGTTTTGAAGTACTTATTTGTTATTTTAGAACTTTATTTATTATTATTAACACAAAAAGCTCCAACAGGCACCCAAAAAGTTGAAAATGTGAAATTTGAGGCTTTATCTGAAGTTGCTGGTGTCCAGGCAGCAGCAGATACACCTAAGACCCAGTTGGTTCATTTAAAAGAATATTTTGAAATATTTTTTGCACTTTTGAACGTTATTTTAAATTAAAAATACATTTAAACATTTGAAACTCCTTAATTCATGTCATTTTGAAAAAATTCTATCAACTTCAGAGTTCAAATCGCTATTTCTGTTCTCTGCAGCTTGCCACAGCCACTGCCTGGACACGAGGGAGATTAGGGTTTAGGGTTTAGGATTTAGGGTTTAGGGTTTAGGATTTAGGGTTTGGGGTTGAAACGTTTAGGGTTTAGAGTTGAAAGGTTTAGCGTTTCGTTGCACAGGGCTTAGGGTTTACAGGGTTTAGGGCATAGGGTTTAGGGTTTAGGGTTTAGAACTTGCGGTTTAAAAGACTAAGGGTTTGGAGAGTTCGGGGCCTAGGGTTTAGGGTTTAGCGGGTTTGACGCAGGAGTGAAGCAATAAGTGAAAGAAGAGAATTTGTGTTTAGGGTTTAGGGTTTGGGTTTAGGGTGTAGGGTTTAGGGTTTAGGGTTTAGAGACTTTTAAATTACTTTTTTAAATGAAAAAGGCACTTCTGGAAAACCTTTTCTGCTTCGAAAAACTCCTGAAAAGCTGCAGTTGAGTTCTCGCAGCTTTTGCTGCAGCTGCATTTATTCTTAATTAAATAAAAATCTTTTCTCTTTAATGCATGCAAATATGAAATTAAATAAATATCTTTTCTTTTGAATGCATGCAAATAAACAATTAAATAAATATCTTTTCTTTGCATGCATTTAATTCATTTAAATTCAAAAACCCTCAGAACAGCAGCAAATGCCAATTTGCATTTTTTAGCAGCAGATTCTTGAACTGCTTGTACAATAGACTGCTGCTGCTGCTGCTGCTGCTAGTCCTGCTGCTGCTGCTGCTAATACTGCTGCTGCTGCCGCTGCTGCTTCTGCTGCTGCTGCTGCTTTGCGAATTCTGCTGCGTCTGAGTCGCAGCAGCAACTGGAAGGCCTCGCGCTGCAGCCAGCTTGAGTTTATCCCATAATGAAATTTAAAAAGAATTTTTTTTTTAAATTTTAGGTTTATAATAATATATATAATACAAATAAATAAATAAAATAAATGAATTGAAATAAGAACTTTAATGTAATATGTTTGGGCCAGCCTCGGGGCTTCTTGATGTCCTGCCTGCTGCTACTGCTGCTCGGGGCTGCTGCTGCTGCTGGGAGCTGCTGCTGCTGCTGCTGGGAGCTGCTGCTGCTGGTTTGAGATGCTGCTGCTGCTGCTCGGAGCTGCAGCTGCTGCTTGGAGCTGTTGGAATGCTGCTTAGAGCGCTTAGAGCTGTTGCTGCTGCTGCTGCCCGGAACTGCTGCTGCTGCTCTGAGCTGCTGCAGTGCTGCGTGCACCTGCTGCAGTGCTGCTTGGAGCAGCAGCAATCCGTTGCTCTGAAGTGCACCAGCAGCAAAACTTCGTATGACTTTTGAAATAAATGTTCAATGTAATTAATTGCTTTTTGAAATTAAATGTTTGATTAAATTAATTGCTGCTAATTCTGAAGTTGTTTTGCTGCACTGCAGCAGCACTTTGTGCAAAAAAGATCGGAAGCAGAAACTTGGCTGTTCAGGTGTCTGTACACTTCAGAAGCAGCAGCAAGCCGCGCAGCAGCTCCGACGCAAAATAATAATCTTGCTGCTTCTGCTGCAGCAAGTTGTTAAAAATCGTAAATGGAAAAAGAAAGAAAGCAAATGAGTCAGCAGCCAAGGCTGAACTTTGCCTCAAACGAGAGCAGCAGAAGCAGCAGCAGCAGCAGAAGCAGCAGCAGCAGCAGCAGCTGCACCAGCAGCAGCGCCAGCCGCAGGCCCGGATTTAGGTGTTTGTACACCCTATGTTGATGTTGCTGCTGTTTCTGTTGCTGCTGTTTCTGTTGCTGCTGTTGCTCCGTGGTTGCTGTCGCTGCTGTTCTTGCTGCTGTTGCTGCTTTTGCTGCTGCTATTGCTCCTGTTGCTGCTGCTGCTGTACCGCCAGAGGGGGCTTCATTGCTGCTGCATCTGCTGCACCAAAGCCCTTTTATTATTCCTTTATTTCTTTTATTTATTTCTGCAAAGATTTTTAGTCTTATTTTAATTAAAGCAATTAACCAGCTCTCTACTTTAATATTCAAGCACATACACAAACCCTAAACCCTAAACCCTAAACCCTAAACCCTCCGCTTTTCTTTTGCCAGCCTCTTGCGGCCTCGCCTTTGTCCAGCCGCCGTGTTGTCCCCCTTGTCCCTGATTTTGCTGCTCATTTCCGTTGTCTACTTTGCTGCTGCTGCTGTTGCTGCTGCTGCTGCTGCTGCTGCTGTTTAGGTCTGCAGCTGCTGCTGGCTTTGTCTTGAGGCTCGAGCGGCCGTCAGGCAGCAGCTGCTTCACCGCAGGCTTTGAAGCAGCTCCGGGGCCCGAAATGAGGGTTTAGGGTTTAGGGTTTAGGGTTTGGAGGGTCACAAGCTCGTTCCACAATCCTCAGGAGTGTGTCTTTTCTTATTCGCTGAATCCGCACTATTGCGTTCGTCGCTGCTGCGAGACCGCCGCCGCGCCTTGCTGCTGCTGCTGCTGCTGCTGCTTTTCTTGCAGCTGCTGCTGGAGTACATTGCCTTAAAGGGGGAAGCGCTACTTGAATATGCTTTTTGCTTCAGCAGCTTTTGCGTCTGTGGCGGCGTTGCTGCTGCTGTCACTGCTGCAGCAGCAGCTGCAACGAGCCGTGCCCCCACAGCCTTCCTGCCGCTGAAGCTGCTGCTGTTGCTGTTGCTGCTGCTGCAGCTCGACGGCGAAGCAGCAGCAGCAGCAGCAACAGCAGCAGGAGAGCTTCTTTGCGGGGTCTCAGGAGGATCATTTTCGCAGTTTGCTTCCTCAGTTGCATTTGCTTCTCTGCAGCAGCACAGCCGCCAGTTGCAGCAACAGCAGCAGCACAGCCACAAACCGCAGCAGCAGCAGCAGCAGCAGCAGCAGCATCCATATCAGCTTAGACACGCAAATGCCAGCAGAGCACCAGCAAGCAGCTCCACGTAACAGCAATACAGCGAGAGCAGCAATAGCAGCAGCAACAGCGGCAGCAGCAAAAGCAACCGCAGCAGCAGCAACAGCAACAGCAGCAGCAGCAAAAGCAACTGCAGCAGAAGCAAACCTAAGAGCAGAAGCAGATAGCAACGCGGGCAATGGACTGGGCTTCCACGACTGCCAGCGCTCAGCTGCTGCTGCTGCAGCACAGGCGCTGCAGCAGCAAGGGCCGCTGCTGCTGTTGCTGCCGGCGTTGCTGCTGCTGTTGCTGCTGCTGCTGCTGTCGCTGCTGCAGTCTGCTTCAGCGCCTTGGCCTCCACTGGCGGAACTCCTGCAAATGCGGAGCTGCAGCAAATATCACAAACAGCAGCAAGCTGGGGCATTTTTGTTGCTGCTGCTGCTGCCTGCTGCTGCTGTTTCTGCTGCTGCCGCTGCTTACCTGCTGCTCCACATCTGAAGCAAACGCGGTAGCTCGTGCTGCTGCTTCTGTTGCTGCTTGGCTGCAGCAAGTGCTGCTGCTGGCTGCTGCTGCTGCTGCTGCTTCGATGGCTGCTGCCGCAGTTGCTGCAAACTTCTGCTGCTGCTGCTGAGCACGCGTTGCTGCAGCATTCAGGTCTGCTGCAGCTGCCTCTGCAGCAACTGCTGCCTTCTGCTGCTGCGTCTGCAGAGTGTCGAGACATTGCAGCAATCCTTGCTGCCCCGCGTCTGTCTTTTGCTGCAGCGGCAAACAGGGCCCCACACTTCTTTGAAGATGCAGCAGTGCAGCAGCTGGTACAGGAGGCGCAGCAGCAGCAGCGGGAGGCGCAGCAGCACTAGTAGCAGCAGCAGCAGCAATTGCTGTTGCCGTAGCAGCGGCAGCAGCGGCAGCAGCGGCAGACGCAACAGATCTAGTCGCAGCTGCAGCTACTGCAGCGCTAGCAGCAGCAGCGGCAACAGCCGCACTAGCAGCAGCAGCAGACGCTGCTGCAGCAGCAATCGCAGCAGAGGCAGCAGCAGCAGCAGCAGCAGCAAGGCACGGACTTTAGTGTCGGTGCAGCAGTCATTGGTGGCCTTGAGGTGCTGCAGCATTTCTTTTGTCTCTTCCTCTTTTGCTGCTGCTAAAGAGCTGTGTTGCTCTTCTCTTGCTGCAGCAGCAGCAGCAAGCATCTGATGCAGCACGTTAGTGGCGTTCAGGGATACGTCGTCTGCTGCAGCAGCAGCAGCAGCAGCAGCAGCGATTGCCTTGTCTGCTGCTGCAGCCTGTACTGCTTGCTGCTGTTGCTGCTGCTGCTGAGCCACAGCCAGCTCCTGCACTAGCTGCTGGCGCTGCTGCTCTGCTGCAGCCTGCTGCGCTCTCACAAATGCTGCGAGTTGCTGCTGCACTGCAGCAGCAACTGCTGCTGCTGCTGCCTCTGTCTGCTGCTGCCTTGCAGCCGCTTCCTCCTCAAACCGCTGCTGCAGCTGCTGCAGCTGCTGCCCAGCTGCTGAGCCCCCAGCAGCAACAGTAGACACCAAACCCTGCAGCGTTTGCTGCAGCTGCTGCTGCTTCGCCGTGCACTCCTTACGGGTTGATGTGATGTTCTCTGCGGCAGCAGCAGCAGCAGACACAGCAGGAGCAGCAGCACAGCTGTAGAGCAACAGCAACAGTAGCAGCAGGTGCCAAAGAACCGCAGCAGCAGCAGCAGCAGCAGCAGCAGCAGAAAGGCTCACGCTCTGCAGCTCTAAGGCAGTCTTCCTGCTGCTGCTTTGCACTTTCTAGCAGCTGCTGCAGCAGCAATGTGTGCTTCCGCTGATGCTCCTGCAGCAGCAAACACCACACAGAGGCGCCTAAACACTGTTGCTGTTTCTTAGCAGCAAATATTTTGCTGCAGCAGCAGGGTTTGCATTGTTTGCTGCTGCAGCCTGTGATGCAGCGCAGCAGCAGCTGCAGTCGGTGCTGCAGCAGCAGGTGCTGCAGCAGCAAATTCAGCAAACCGCAGCATGGCTTGCCTTTGTTGCTGCGTCCAAAGCCTCTGTATTTCGCTGCAGCAGTAGCAGCTGCTGCTGCAGCAGCTGCTGCTGCTCCTTTTGCTTCTCTCGCAGCCGCTGCACCAAGACACTGTGTTCTTGCAGCTGCTGCAGCAGCAGCGCCTGCTGCTGCTGCTGCTCTGCTGCTGCTGATGCGTCCTCTTCTGCAGAGCCTTGGCGCTGCTGTTCAGTCTCCTGCAGCTGCTGCAGAAACTGCTGCACTTGCTGCAGCAGCAGCTGCTGCTGCGCTGCAGCAGCAGCTGCGTCAGCCTGAATTTCGAAAGACAGTCACACACGAAGTGGCGTTGCTATACTTGCTGCTGCTGCAGCAACAGCAGCAGTAGGTGGTGTGGCAGCACCTGCTGCTGTGGCAGCCGCAGCTGATGCCTCTAGTTCTGGACCTGCTGCTGCTGCAGCGCGACTCTGCTGTTGCTGACCTCTAGAGACGAAGAAAATTGAGTACATGCTGCTACTGCAGCTTGCTGCTGCTGTTGCTGCTGCTGCTGCTGCTGTTGGAGCACCGTGATGTCCTCAACTGCCCGTCGCAGAGAATCCGCAGCAGCAGCAGATGCTGCGGAGTGCTGCTGCTGCTGCTGCTGCAGGGCTTCGGTTATCCGCTGCTCTTCTTTTAGGCTCTGCAGCAGCAGCAGCACAAAAGCAGCAGCATCACCAGCATGCGCTGCAGCGCAGCAGCAGCTGCCGCTGCGAAGCAAAACGAACCAGCGAAAGCAGCTACAGGCACATCAGCAGCAGCAGCAGCAGCAGCTGCTGCTGACGTTCTGGCTGAGCTGTAAAGAGAGCCGAAGCGCGTCCATTTGCTGCAGATGCTGCTTGTGGGTTTCGTTTTGCTGCTGGATTTGCTGCTGCTGTGCTTTGACTTGCTGCTGGAGCTGCTGGAGGAGCGCGGCGTGGTGCTGGAGCGCGTGCTGCTGCTGCTGCTGCTGCTGCTGCTGCTGGGTGTAGAGCTCCAGAGGCAGAAACACCCCCTCGCGCTCCCGCTGCTGCTGCAGCAGCAGCCGCAGCTGCCCATTCTCCGACAGCAGCTGCGACAGCAGCGCATCTCGAGATCTGCGCAAAGTCGCAACGGGCCGCGTTGTCACGCTCTTCGCCCGAAACGCGTAGTCTGCAGCAGCAGCAGCAGCAGGGGCAGCAGCAGAGGCGACAGCAGCAGAGGAGCAGCAACAGAAGCAGCAGCAGCAGTAGCAGCAGAGGAGCAGGAGCAGCAGCAGCAGAGGCAGCAGCAGCAGAGAAGCAGCAGCAGCCGAGAAGCAGCAGCAGCAGCAGCAGAGAAGCAGCAGCAGCAGAGAAGCAGCAGCAGCAGCAGAGACGCAGCAGCAGCAGAGACGCAGCAGCAGCAGAGAAGCAGCAGCAGCAGAGAAGCAGCAGCAGCAGCACATTGAAACAAAGGGTTATGACCTTAACTCGCAGGGTACTCAGTAGTAACTGCAGCGGCAAAAACAGACGCTGCACTGGCATGTGTAGCAACAGCAGCAGCAGCAGCAACAGCAGCAGCAAAAAGACCAACTGCTGCAGCAGTCCCGTTTTCGGCCGCAGCAACTGCAGCAACCGCTCCGCAGCCGCAGCAAGAACGGCAGCGACGCGCACTATCGCAGTAGCAGCAGCACCAGCAGCAGCAGCAGCAACAACAGCAGCAGCAGCAACAACAGCAGCAGCAGCAGCAGCAGCAAATTACCTAAAGTGCACAAAGTCTCTTCCAAAGTGTCTCCTGTGGGGCCGATGGTGGCAATGAGGCAGGTCTTCGTGCTGCCCCCCAAACTGTCCTGAACAAAACCCTAAACCCTAAACCGTAAACCCTAAACCCTAAACCCTAAACCCCAACCCCAAAACCCTCCAAACCCCAACCCCAAGCCCCAAACCCAAACCCCAAGCCCAAGCCCCAAACCCTAAACCCTAAACCCTAAACCCTAAACCCTCGCCTGGAGGAGTCGGGTGAGTTTGGAGTCTCTGAAGGGGACATAAGTTTGCTTCTCGACGAGGGCATTAATGCAGCGGCCCAAAGTCAGCAAAGACTGATTAATTGCTGAGGCTTCTTTGCGGCGGTTTGCTGCTGCTGCTGCTGCGCCCCAGCTGCGCTCCAGGTTCTCGCTCCCTGCCCGCACACGCTCCTGCTGCTGCTGCTGCTGCTGCTAGTGCTGCTGCTAGTGCGGCTGTTTTGCTGCTGCTGCTGCTGTTTTGCTGCTGCTGCTAGTGCTGCTGCGGCTAGTGCTGCTGCCGCTACTGCTGCTGTTTTTGCTGCTGCTGCTACTGCTACTGCTGCTGCTGTTTTTGCTGCTGCTGCTGCTACTGGCGTTGCTGCTGTTGCTGCTACTGCTGCTGTTTTTGCTGCCAAACCTCACTAAACCCTGAATGCTCTACTCCTAGCCCTGCGGCATAGCTGCAGCAGCAGCTGCTGCTCGTGCTGCTGCTGCTGCTGCTGCTGCGTACCTGCAAGATCCACGAGGCTCAGCTTGCCGATTCTCACGACCTCCTCTACTGCGACCACTCCTGCTTGCTGCTGCTGCTGCTGCCGCGTGCTGCTGCTATCTTCCTCAGCAGCAGCAGCAGCAGCAGCAGCAGCAGCAGCAGATGAGACACTTGGAGACTCCGAAATGCAAACAGAAAGAGAAAATATTGTGTGGCTTCTGCTGCTTCTCGAGTTGCTGCCGCTGCAGGCGAAGCTGCGGCGAGGCGCTGCCCCCAGCAGCAGCGCGAACACCTCCTGCAGCAGCAGCAGGAGCAGCAGCAGTGGCAGCAGCAGCAGGAGCAGCAGGAGCAGCAGCAGAGGGGAAGGCAGCGTGAAGAAAGCTCACTCTGAGGAGCAGCACTCTCAGCGGCAAACCCTCACCTCCAAACCCTAAACCCTAAACCCTAAACCCTAAACCCTCACCTGGGGGCTGTTGACTCTCTTCTCTGTAAGGCCATCTACTCGAACAGCTCCTGGGCCTCTTGTTGCACCCCAGCTGCTGCTGCTGCTGCTGTTGCTGCTGCTGTAGCTGTCTCCCTGCTGCTCTTCGTAGATCCTCAATTTGGGCTGCTGCTGCTGCTGGCCTGCTGCTGCTGACGACCCTGCTGCTGCTGCTGCTGCAGGCGGGGCCAGCAAATCCACCAACTCCTCATTATATATTTCTAAGAAGCTGCAGCGCAGCATGTAGTCGCTGCTGCTGCTGCTGCTGCTGGCTTGCTGCAGCTGCTCGAAGATATAACAAACGGCGCGGGGCAATATGCCTGCATCTGGGCTTAGCTCAATGCTGCTGCTGCTGCTGCTGCTGCTGTTGCTGCTGCTGGCGTTGCAGCTGGGAGTGCTCTCCGTGTCAGCTGCGGCGTTGCTGCTGCTGCTGCTAGCTGCAGCAGCAGCAGCTGCTGCTGTTGCTGCAGGCACTTTGGCTAGGCCCGCGCTGCTGTTGCTCCTGCTGCTCGAAGTGCTGCCGCCGCCCCCCCTGCAGCCGCCGCCGCCGCCGCCGCCGCCGCTGCTGCTGCTGCTGCTGCTGCTGCTGCTGCTGCTGCGCAGGTACTGCGCGTACTGGTCGTGGGGCCCTTCTATAGTGTAGGTCTTTCCTGTGCCCGTTTGGCCGTAGGCAAATAAAGTGCAGTTGTAGCCCTCCAGCACCTGCCCCCAAACCCTAAACCCTAAACCCTAAACCCTAAACCCTAAACCCTAAGCCCTGAAGCCTGAGTTATTAGTGCTGAGTTCTAGAGCCTGAGCCTCGCGGGGGAAAACCCTAGAAAGTGGACCTCAGCTCTAGGCTGCGCAGCTCATTTTCTAAACCCTAAACCCTAAACCCTAAACCCTAAACCCTAAACCCTAAACCCTAAACCCTAGAGACTCGCCTGGTCAACGAGAGGCTTGACGTGGGCGTTGAAGAGCTCCTCCTGCTGCACACTGACGGGGCAGACGCCGTCGAATCTGAAGACTCTGCTGCTGCGCTGCTGCTGCTGCTGCTGCTGCTGCCGGTAGCTGCTTGCTGCTGGCAGCAAAACCGACACTTGCTGCGTCTCTGCGCATATGTGCACTGCTGTGCTGCTGCTGCTGCGCTGCTCTGCTGCGCTGATGGGGCGGCAGCGCACCACCACCTTGATGTTCTCCGTGCTGCTGCTGCTGCTGCTGCTGCTGCTGCTGCTGGCTCTGCTGCCCTGGCTGCTGCAGGCCGGGCGGCTGTGCTGCACGCTGCTGCTTGCGCTGCGCTGCAGCAGATTCTGCTGCGCGCTGCTCGGTTTGGGCCGGCGAGACATGCTGCTGCTGCTGCTGCTGCTTCCAGGCTTGCTGCTGCTGCTGCTGCTGTTGCTGCTGAGGTCCCTATACACCCCACTGCTGCGCTTCGTGCTGCCCTCCCCCTCGGGGCTCCCATCGGCCCCACGCAGGGGAGTAGACGCCATGCTGCTGCTGCTGCTGCTGCTTCTGGCGTTGCTGCTGCTGCTGCTGCTGGAGTTGCTGCTGCTGCTACTCGCGTTGCTGCTGCTGCTGCCGGCGTTGCTGCTGCTGGAGGGAAAGGGAAAGCAGCAGCAGCAGCAGCACCAGCGCAGCTCACACGAACAACCTGCGGGCCCTGCTGCTGCAGAATGCTGCTGCTGCTGCTGCTGCTACTGCTGCTGCAGCTGCTGCGCCTTAGCGGAAGGCGCGAGGCAAAGGGGGAAAACCCTCGTGGCCGATGGCGACATTCCTAGCCAAAGTTAAACTTGTAAATACTTAACTGAAACCCTAAACCCTAAACCCTAAACCCTAGTCCTTAAGTATAAACCCTGCCGAATAAGAAACAAATGCTGAAACGTGAAAAAAGGAAAAATTTCAAGAAAAAGAGGCAAGACAAACCCTAAACCCTAAACCCTAAACCCCAGGAGGGCTGCTGTGTGTTAGGAGCTTGGGGCTGCGGTCGGGTCGTGGGGTTGTAGGCCCTAAACCCTAAACCCTAAACCCTAAACCCTAAACCCTAAATAATTGAATTAAACTCGAATTTATAAACCCTCAGCAGTCTGGTGTAACTCTTGTAAACCCTAGCTATCAGTCAACTGCCCATTGGGAACTTGGCCTGACCTTCTGTAGGGGGGCGGTCTAGGGTTTAGGGTTTAGGGTTTAGGGTTAGACTTCTTGAAGGAATTAGCTGCCAGAGGAGGCGATTTTCCTAAGAGCAGCAGCGGCAACAGCAGCAGAGCAGCCGCAGCAGCAGCAGCAGCGGCAGCAGCAAAGGCAACCGCAGCAGCGACAACACCAGCAGCAACCGCAATCGCAGCAGCAACGGCAGCAGCAGCAGCAGCAGCAACAGCAGCAGCAGCAGCAGCAATGAAAAGAGAGCAGAGGTAGTGGGCACGACAACACCAGCAGCACCGCTAGCAGCTGCGACAAACCCTTAAGCGGCAGCAGCAGCAGCAGCAGCAGCTGCAGCAGCAGCAGCAGTCCTTGTTGGCGGAAGAAACTCCGCAACTACAATGGAGCCTCCCAAGTCAGCCCTTATCTCTAAACCCTAAACCCTAAACCCTAAACCCTAAACCACAATTAGACTGTAGCTGTCACTGTTATGCCCGCTGCTCCCCTATGCCTTCGGGGGGAGCTCTAGCGCCCAGGGT